GCAGAAAAAACTCCAAGATTCAAGAACAGAGGGGCAGTCAGTTTTATTGATCCTCCTGAAGAAGTTTTAAAAAGAAGATCTATGACCAAATGAGCAGTAGGTTGATATTCTCTTTATTGGAAGGGTTATTAAGAAGCAGACCAAGTATAAGTTATTTGAGAGATGTGTGCCCTTGAACACAGCCTTTTAAAACTTGCACAATTAGAAACATTCGAAATGATCCAGTATATTTCTTTTAGCGAGAAAAGTCACTTTGATAAATCGAGGGCCCAAAATGTAACACTGCATTTTCTTTGAATAATAATTTTATTTTGAAAAGATACATTTGAAGCCAGCACTTTGTTACAGATGGGAACACTGCTACTTTTGTGTACCTAAATTAGACAGCAGAGAAATAGCTCCTTCAAAAAAGAATGCAGCTACTGATATTTTTACTGCTGCTCAGATAAGTATCATTCCCCACAATCCACCTATAAATAAAACATAGGAGTTTAATTTTCAGAGAGCTGAATTGGTTATTACAGGTGTGTGTATTATAAATATGTTTTGGCCAGAGTAGGGAGCAAAAGGATACAAGGAAAAGACTTCTCTCAAATATCTCTCATTGGACTCTGGTGCTGAGAAAAAGGTGTGAACAGGCAGTCCCCAGGAATAAGGGCTTTTCTTATCCATAGCCACGATACAGCGGGGCCAGCTTCCCACAGACATGCCGACAGGTGTGAAGGCTAGAGATGGGAACCCTAAAACTCCAGTTCACAGGTCCAACCCTATTCAGGGAAGCACTTCACTTTAGCCCACCATTGACTTCAAATGGACTTTACCTGGTATGTAACTGTCCTTTGATGAATAAGAAAAGACTTCAATTTGCTTTGTAAATTGAGGCCAGGCTTGCAAATATAGCTCGCTCCCAGATTTTCCCACCTTTAGCATCTGGGCTGAGACCACTGGCCAGGGCGCAGATGATTGCAATCTGTGGGACATGGAATTGGAAATAGGCCAGCAATTTAGGTCACTGACCACCTCTCAGGAGGGGATCTGCTCAGTATTATCCAAGGTATTGATTTCAATTTATAATCAAAAAGTGAAAAGCTCCTTATCTAGTAGGATCCCATTGTAAGCCAGTCTCCCTTCCCAACTGTTTTGAAAAGGAAATACTTTCCTCTCTTTCTGTTTGTTTGCTGGCAAGGGCTACCATTATACTGAGGATATGAAAGCAAAGAATTACCTTTTCCAAGCACAAGCAAGTGGCTACCTAGATATTTCAGAACAGCAAGGGTTCAATGCAGGCCTCAGCAAAGTCAGTAGAAAAACTCCTGCTTAGCAGAAGTTGAAGGGGGCCACAAACTTACGCTAATAAGCCTTTTTAAGTCTGTCATGTGAACTACCACACACACACCTTAATAATCCTTAGAGGGAGCGAGCATTAGGAAACAGTCAAGAGCCACCTTCCCCTTTAAACTTGCCTGTTCGGTGAGTGGGTCCGGTTTCTAGTTCCCCTTTCCTCCCTTGCGCGGTTTGGAGATGATATTCAGCAGGGACCTTGGTTCTTGGATAGTAACTTTATACTATATCTTAATTTTTTAAGCATACATCCTGCTCTGCATTTCCCTTCATTTTTTTTTTTTTTTGTTGTTGTTGTTTCTTTCCTCCCTTTTTCTATATATTTACTTCCCAAACCCTGGAAGACAAGATGATCTGCAAGTGCTTCTCCCACTCTATGAAGTGCTCCTGAAGAAATGAGTTAGGCAATGAGGTTCAGACTCTGGAAACTGTGATTTCTAATCCCAGCCCCTGCCTCCAAATAACTTTGTGATGCCAAGCAAACCATACTGAATCTGTACCTCAGTCTTTCAGTATGAAGAATGATGTTTATCTTCCTCAAAATAAGAACCAGCTAGTGTTTGTACATGATTTGAATATGTAGGACCTAATCTGATCAACCTCATAACATAGCCTTTACTAATGTAATTCCACTGACTTCATAGGCTTAGTCCTTCTTCACACTAGCGTAGACAAGAGAGGAATTGGCATGTAAATTTCCTTAAAGATTATACACTTTGTTTATGAAACATTAAATTTAAACAGTAATCAGTATTCTCCCATACTTCATCTGAACTCAGTCCCCTTTTTTGTAAAAATAAGTCTCAGATGATCTCTGATGATGCACATATTGGTGATATTTCAATCCTGCTGAACATATGTTGTTTTTTTGTTTAGCTGTTTTTCTCAGCCTTTTTCTATCAAATATACAGGATTTTTTTAAGGAAATGTCAAATATTGCGAACAACACAAAGATCTCGCAAGCGTTTCCATCTGGAAGAAAGACTTGCTGTCAAATGTTTTTACCCTTCCTCGAAGCCAGTCCCAAGCACAGCGCTGTTAGCTGAACTCTCTTCCATTTCCTAAGCTTGCATTATTAATTTTGCATTGCGATAAGATATTTATTCAAAGAGGCAGATATCTCCTTCCTTTGAAAGTGAGATTATTTGCAGGAATGACCACACTTTTTTTTTCCCAAATGAAGTTATGCAAATCTGATGGACTAAAGTAAATGTTTCATAAAACCAATGACTGTTTAAATTGTGGGACTAAATTGTTTGTATATAAATATTACCTTTTATATTCCATTTGAGTTTTATGTAGATGAACACATTACTTTAATGACCTGCATTTACAGAGGGAGACAGGAAGAGTCTCACTCTGAAATCCTCAGCAGCCAGATGGCTGCCTTTTCTTGCATGAGATTAAAAGATGTTTCTCATTCACAGCCCTGCTTCTGAGGCAAATTAATATAGCCAGCTAAATTGCTTGTGTTTTTGGAATAAAATTTAAAGAGAACTTTTTAAAGCAATTGGTGTCACAGGTTCCTTGAGCAGATTGCTCTCCAGGTACGGCATGCTGGTTTTAAACATTCAGTAATTAATGGAAAGTATTCCATGTTAATTGACTGCTTCAGGAAAGGGAAATATAATGACTCCTTATTAATCATGAAAAGAGACATACAGCACAGAGGCACTGCAATAATTGCACTAACGGTGGAGAAATGTTAATTAATGAAAAGAACAATGATGTAAGAAATTAGCTACATAATGCTTGCTGCTGATGGAGATTGTGCTTTAAACACATTATTTAGGATGGCAGCCACTGGATATTGCTTTAAATAGCAGACACCTCTAACCCTTTTTTTTTTCACTCAGCTGTAGATCTCCAAATGTTGCCAGTATTTCAGCTATTATGAGCCAAAACGTACTCTGCGAAGGTATGCTTTCTAAACAGTTGTTAATTTGGACTCTGTAGCTCAGGACTGCCCAGAACGAAGGGAAAATATTTGAACTGTATTTTAAGTACCAGTTAGGTCTCAGATAACTTATTGGTGTTAGTTAAGCAGCGAGGGGAACATCACTTATTACACTAGTAGCTGACTAGGTGAGGCTCTTGCAAGGGAAGATAACGGTCTCAAAACCTCTCTCCCTCCCCACTGGCTCTTCATTCTGCTTGGTATCCAATTCTGTATTCGCCAGAGGATTTAGAAGCTGGATTCCATCGTGTTGGTGACTAGCTTTATGTAAAGAATTGTAGTATATTAAAATGCAGAGCATTTCTGGCAACTAATCCAACATCAGTTATAAGTTCAGAATCATTAATGGCTGTGAGGCCTTAAGGTTTTTCACCATCATTGTACTGTATCACTCAGACAGCAACAAGACAAGACATATTCATCAGGTTAAAGGGAATAGAGCTGATCAGATTATTCATTGTGAATACATTACCTCACAAATATATCTTTTTTTTTTCTGTTCAGGAACAGGCTCTGATTTCTATTAATGTATTTTTCTTAATTGCCTGACAACTTGTGCAAACACACACATGAGCCTGGGTACTGTTGGCAAGTTGCTCCTGATAATTATGCCATATGTGATTGGTCACCTAAGACATTGTATCAGCTTTGTGACTGGATGACTGAAGCTTGTTAAAGAGAAAAACAAACACCAAATAGGGAACAATGAATGCGTTTATCTCAGGTGCAAGACCATTGCAAATAAAACTACAGGTATTTTTATTTAGACCCATAAATATGAACACGTCTACACGTCACCCTACATCATCGTAGCAATGTGCTACCTCACTTTACAATGTGCTACAGTGATGTAGTGATCATGTGAGTCTACATGGGACTGCCAGTTATTTCTCCATAGCAGCGTGCTCCCTGGTTTTAGCGCACCGCTACAGAGAAGTAGCAGCTAAAACTAACCATGGGCCATTTGCACAGTGCAGTACAGGTGGTTACTGTACTGTGCTTTAGTACTTCGAAAAGGAAGTACTACAGCATGGCGCAGTAACAGCGTCACCATAGGGTGATGTGTAGACACACCCAATGTGAAGTATTTGTCAATCCAAAAGGCCACTCCAGGGATGCAAGTCAGAAGTAGATCCATGGAGCTACACCAATCTTATATCAGTATGAGAGACGAATCAGGCTTATTGTTTGCAGTGTTTGACAAGTTTGGTAAAATCTTGGAGCCCTACACTAATCCAGCCCTATACTGTCCCGCCACCACCTAAAGCAATGAGGATGCACCAGCATAATACTGGAGGAATGCAGCATTGGGTCCCGTGAACTGAGTTTGTGAGTGAATTAGGGAAAGGGGAATAGTTCTAGTTCACTTTGTGGCCTTGCTAGTTCCAGGGTTGGCAGAAAATAAATAGCTACATCTTTCTGTCCTTTTCTATTCCAAGATGCCATGGTACATCCCATTGCCAGTGGTAGGAATACTATACCAGGCAAAATGTCTCCCCCAGCGGAGAAATCCTCAGCTCTCTGTTCAAGGCAGTGTAAAGGGACTTAACCAGTGAGAAGATCTACATGTTTGTCTCTGGAATCAAAGTATCAAATATGGGAACAGACATCTTCACCCATTGCTTTCCATTTTTTCCTCACAGTCTCTTGCACAGCTTTTTCTGCGCCCGTATATTTTATCACCGCTGAATTTCTTTTTCAGATGGAACGTTCTTGGATTGCAAGGTGCTCTCCTCAGTTACTTCATCGAGCCCACGTACTTGCACAGCATTATTGTGGGAAGCCTTTATCACACTGGTCACCTTTCCAGGGTAATGAGCCATAGGATAGAAAGCATTGGTCAGCTGCCAGCTTCATACCGGCGTAATCACCTGCTCCTCAGTGGTAAGCAAACACCTGCTTGAAAGACAAATGATCACCTTTCCCATCACTAATTGTACCAGGCACCAACAGGAAAGTTGACTTCTTATTAATTCTACACACAAGTGTTCTTCCCTGCACCTAAACTGTATGCTTCTCTGCATCTAAACTCTTTTTTGTAGTAAGAGTAACAATACACTGCGCCCTATAATACTGGAATAAGAATAGTATAGCTAATTTGAGATGGCCCCGAGGCAAACCATTTACTCCCAGTAATGTCTAATGAAAAGGCCTGCTGGTTGCTACTCATGATGCTTAACTGGGATGCTGTCCTTCCTGTTGACTAGGTGAGTTACTGGAACGTATGCATTAAAGGCCTTGCCCTGCGCTCATTGAAAACAATGGCAAAGTCTTGGCTGACTTCACTGGGCATAGAATGAGACCCCAGCAAGATGCAGAGCACCCTCAGTTCTTGTTTGAGCCCTGGATGTTGCCCAGTACCTTGGAAGACCTGGCAGTAAATTCTTAGAGAGTGATGGTCATGAGGAATAAGTGGCACAAGCTTACACAGACTCATAGAAAAGTAGGCCTGGAAGGGACCTCTGGAGGTCATCTAGTGCAGCCCCCTGGTTAGGGCAGGATCATTCCTAACTATCCAACTCAAGTGTTTTTGAACCCAGGGTTGTCAATCTACAGCACATGGGCTGAATCCATCCCACAAAGAGCTTCAAGCCAGCACAAAAAGGTCTGATCCAGCATGGGAGAACTGGTGGCACAGAGCTGTATTGTGCCATCCGTTCCCTCCTCCGCTCTCCTCCACTGTGGACCTTGCTGCTTCACTGCATCTGTGCCCTCCTTGCTGCAGAAGAGCCAGGCATCTGCAACAAGGATGAGTGCAAGCAGCTGGCCACACTGTGAGGAGGAGGCTTATGGCCTGCCATGACAACCAGGTTGCAAGCTCTGGCCTGCATGGGCAAAAAATCATCAATCCCTGGTCTAACCAATTCATAGAAATACAGAAGCAACCTTCATCCAGAACTACCAGGCACAGTACCCAAAAGCAGCAAGAACACCTTAACTTGTTACAGGTAAAGCAGGGGGATGAAGGCACTGCCAGTGTCCTGCCATTGCAAGGACAGAAAGTAGTTTGTTAAAATATATACAAGAGATCCAAGGACTAGAAGCCTGCCCCACACTACAGAAGAAGACAAAAACCCTCATAGTCCATGCCAGTCTGAACATGCAGTAAAATTCCTTCCTGATCCCAAATGTAGATTAGTCTTTCCTGAGTGGAGAAAGGACCTCTAGCCATGAACTTCTAGGTTTTTTTAAGTCCCAGAAGGTTTTTTTAAGTCTCTGCCATACCCCAGTTGAAATCCCCAGCGTTCGCTCTGGCCATCAGCAGTGCTTCTGAGGTAGGGAAAATAAAAAAATCCCTGATGCCTGTAGCAAAGGAGAGAAAAAGATTCCAGTCAAGCACATGGAGCCTCAGAGAGATTAAAGCTGAAATCCTCAAAAGTCTCTAGGTACCTAATATGAATAGATTTGAGGAATTGGGCCAGAATAACTTGCCCCAGGCAGTAATTGTCAGTAGTCGTACTCCCAAATTTTGACTACTAAACCAGAACTCCTTCCAAGAGCATCCTGGATGCAGATATAACTATTTTTCTAAAGTGAACAATTTTGTTTCTTTTCAGGGGCAGGGGAAGGGGAGAGAACGAGAAGTTAAAATGTATATATGTTACCAAAAAAATGAATACAGGCTATCCACTGGTCAGGAAAAATTACTACTTATAGTATAAAGGAGACAGCCTTACAAAAGAAAAATCTGATATGAACTACTCCACTAGGAAAATTGTGGAAAGAAAGTTAGTAGATTTTAGGCCCTTCAGGAAGGTATAATACTGACCCAAGATAGGTTGAAATGATATGGTGATTGTGTTCTTTCTTTGTATTTTATTCCCCATACTCCTCATGTGGGAAGTAGGTGTCTTGTTTGTACCCAGGCAGTGCCCCAAAAGTAGCTGCTATGGACCATCAGAAATGAAATATGTGAAGGAGCATAGAAACTGCGGTAGTGGATCATACATATGGCCCACTTATCCTAGTATCCTGTCCCTGAGGCTTCAGAGAGAGAGGTAAAGCCCCAGGTGAACACTGTACACTGGTGGCTGGTGCCTACAATAAGCAGCAGGACTGGCGGTTGTTATGTCCCTCTCTTCCCCATCATCTTGTCTCAACCAGCTCATATTGTCTCTTCTTCAGGCTGATCATAATTTCAACATGAATAGAATAGGGCAGTGTAAAGGTGCTGTAGGAAAGTATTCTGGTGGCAGATAACATCATTTTGGACAAGTAGGAATCAAAAAATAACTTTCCTGCTTTCACCTCTGTCCTCTTGAAGAGTGAAAACTGGTCCACTGTGCCACAAGGCAGGGTGAAATAAGATAGTGTTTCTGCTTCTGTGTCCAGTTTTCTCTCTATTCCAATGTACTTTCTGCTCTACCACCTCCCTTACTGTCTCTCACACCCACTCCACCAGTTCACCCAGTCCCATTCCCCAGCACTCAGTTCTGCCAATCCAAACCATCCCCTTCCAGACTCAGAAGCTCCTCGGGCCCCGCTCAGCTTCCTCAAACCTAGCCCATACTTGCTCAGAAATATTTTCTCCCAGGCTGAGGTCACCGTGTCCATTTGAAGTAAATGAGCATTGAGGGACTTCAGTAATTCACAGAATCAGGTCCTTATTTTGTGCCCAGAATATTGGGCAACTGCAGTTGTTTAAAAAGGCACTGAGGGTGCCTGTAGACATGCAGGGATGTTGCTTTGATGCTCTGCAATTACAGTGCATCGGAGCAGATTTGCTTAATCAAGTCTCCCAGACCACGCTAATTAGTGTGCTCCAGCAGCCTCCACATCTCATATATTCAGCATCCCCATGTTTCAAAAAGGCAGCAGGGGTGCTGTAACTAAAGCTCATTGAATGAGTTTTAGTTAAAGTGCCTCTGCCACCATTTGAAATGTGGGATGCTGAAAACATAAGATGCTGAAAAGTGCTTTAATTAGAGCAGCTCTTGGAGCACATGTTAAGATGCCCTGAACTACCAAGATGATGCCTGTAAAATATAGGCTAGTGGCCAGGATAGCTATGTATCATTGACTTCAGAGGAGCAATTAAGGTCCCAAATCACTTAGGTGCTATTGAAACTTTTATCCTTTATCTAGTTCATATTCTTCTTGCTGAGATATTATTTTCTTCATGTGCCTTTTGCCAAATTTAGTTTTGCTAAGACAGAGGAAGTGATAGTTTAGCTACAGGGGAAATTCACTGCTTCAGTTCATTGTGAGCACATCCAGTCAGTACAGTTCACATGTGTGTTGTAGGGTCAGATGAAATTACTCATCCCTTTTTTGAAACATTTGTCATATAAATCTTCAGTCTAGTGAGTTAGAGATGCAAGAGTGTAAAAAGTGAATATGCCAGGAATCTCTATGCTATTTTATTTGACATTACATCACTAAATATACCAGTCCTGTTTATCAATGACTTCCATGCAGAGTGCCATATATTGTGTCAGACTGAAGGAAGCTCAACCTTGGGCTTGGCCTGAGCCCCCATCAGTCCAATGGCAGTTTTGCTGAAATAGTTCATATGCCTTGTGATGAGCGTCTGCAAGAATATGACCTATTATGAATATAATGCTCTTAATTCTGATATCATATACATCATTTATTTCATTGTCATAAGTCCATTGTGAGATGAGAATGATGCCCATTTCTTATTAAAGTCGGTGGAAATTAGATGTATTCAAAGAACCCCATGAATTGCAAAGTAATAAGAAATAATAAGCTGATAATAAGGAAAATAATCAGAGGACAGCTATAGCTGGGGTGGACTGACTACCTAGTATAAATGCAGTAAGACAGGGCACTAGCTGTTGCCTATAATCCTTTCCGCCCTAGTATATATTTATTGCTGTGAAGCATTATCAGATTTCTCTAGGAAGTTAGTACTGCATCAAATAAGGACAAATGTCCTATGAAAAACCTTATGTTTCTTGTGCATTATACTTGATTTCTCCCTTCTCTGAGAGTTGTCTTTGTTTGGAAAAACCTCTCTGTCTCTGCTGTATGTGAATTTCCTTTAGACTAGGAGCAGTAGCAGGTGGAACCTGTCTCTTGAGATGATTTGATCTATATTGCTTTGGTTCATAAAAACATTGTTTGATACAGCCGCGTGACTCCTAGGCAGCCAGATCTCAGAAATACTGCAGAACCAGTGACAGTCCTGATGAAGGTTAGTTGCTGTGGTTTGTGTTATGTGCTTCATACCTGCACAGCACAGACTAAGTTCAACAAAAGGTTTCAATGACAATGTGCAGCTAACTACCTCTCCCCAGTATACTGAGTGGCAATAAATGGCTAACGAAACAGGTGCCTAGGAAAAGTAACACAGAATGCACTGAAACCCAAACCCTGGCAACCTCAAACCCAACAACTTCTACCTTTAGGACTCCAATTAGACATCAAACGAATTAGGGATTTATAAGCACAGGTGTCTTTGAATTATACCTATGCCAAATCTTTTTTGGTTATCTCATCAGTGTAATCAAGTAGATCATTTAAATGAAGATGGCAGTGAAGAACCTAATGAGGAAACCAAAATACTTGCTCCCCCTGTCTGACCAATACTCAGATTTTCCTTTCACTTACTCCAGTTCCAAATTAATATAAATCCATTGAGTTCACTGGAGCAACTGTGGATTTGCCCCCTGAGAACATCATTAGGCCTATTGTCAGCTTGTTTGCTTTTCTTTTAAGATTGAATCTATTATGAAAGATTCTCTTATCAATTTTATTTTCCACTTTGTATCCCAAAACAATCAAGCTTGAGCTCGAAAATGTTTTCTTTTTTAATTTCCATTCCTACAGTTTCCTATTGATCATTTCCCCACCAGGGTGCTTTGTGCAGTGGAGAGGGGGAAAACGTATCTTGAATTCTTGTCATTTTATTTGAATAATATCAAAATTGTAATATTTCAAAAGAATAATGTGAAAAATCATTTTTAAAAAGCTCCAAGATGTAATCATCAGAAAACAGAGCCAGTGTGGCCAATCGTGATTTTATCAGGATTCCCATGATATTTGGAGTTTTCCCTTGCACACTTTGGATTCTGATGATTACATGAGAACCTCAGTTTGTTTTTAAAAAGTACTTTCTAGGCCTCACCTTTGTGGAGGAAAGCTTGCAAACATGACTTGAGTCTAACCTGAAGGCTCAGCAATCAGAAGGCAAATATAAAAAAACAAAATTGACGTATTTTGAAAGAAACTCGTGTTTTGGGAGTTCTCGAATCATTGTCTGTAGAATGCTAGAGTTTGGCAACAATGTATATCCATAAAATAAATGAAGATGGAAATGCAAGGACTCACACACATTTCTACTGCTCCCAGGGCTCCAGTGTAGTTGCCCCAGCTTTAATTCAGCACAGGTAGTCCCAGGTTATTTCAGTCATAATGGTGATATGCTGAAGCAGATTCCCCAGGTCTGCAGAAGTCCTTTGCTAAAATCTACCATCAAAGCAGCAGCCTGCACCTGACAAACAAGCTCAGGCAGAAGAATGAGAGGTAGTAAGAATCCATTATGTTCCCACCCTTGGATTTTGGACCAGGCCGATGGGTTGAGAATAGGAACTCCGTGCTTGGAGTTCCTCTGACCCAACAGGCAGATAAGCTGGGAGGAATAGAAGGGAACGCCCAGAGTCTTGGCTGGTGCGGAGAGGACTTCTCAACACCCAGTAAGAAGCCCATAGCAAATTACTACATCTAAGAGCAAAGGAGGAGAAAGGAAGGAATTGCCATTCTCTGAATTAGGATTCCTCTGGAGGAGGACTCCTGGGATGGCAGTTACATGCCAGCCCATACTCTAACACTACTGGAGGAGCTGGGATGATAATTACTGAATTAAAAGAATTATTGGCATTGAAATATTTCCATGTGTTAGCTAAATAACACTGCTGGATATGTGTCCTTTGATCACTGCATGGCATTGCATGTGTGGAACAAATTATTCAGTGGATACAGAGAGTGATAATACTATCAGGATCTAGGTTTCACCTCTATTGGGTGCTGTCACTTATCTGACCATCACCTATTATTCAATGTTACCTGGCAGGCCAGGTGATGAAGTGATGTCTACATCCAGATGCTGAGGTCTAAATTTCACCCATACAATTGACAAACACTCATTGAAATCTGTTCTTGCCTTCATGCAGCCACTGGGTTAGTGTGCTATCCATCAGTGTCATGGGTTTTCCCTCTATCTTTTCTTTTCACTTGTGCCGTATCATGATCTAGACATCAAAGAGCTTCAATGTATTGTTTTGGTTTTCACTTGTGTGTGTTCCTGTGACAGCTTAGTATGGCCATGGGTTGCATGGCATTGAGACGTAATTTATTTGGTTTAAGGGATTAATTGTCATGCACACATGCAAAGCCCCTGTCCCTCTGATTCAAATGTTTTGTTACCTTTGGCCACTGGGTTTGCTGCATCGTTGTTGATTCTATGACCTGTAGCTTTTTGCTAGACAGGAACTGTCTGAGCATTTGCTGTTATATTGTTGGCACTCGGTCTGTTAAGCTTTTTGATGATAACTTGACAGGGACTGGTGCGTAAGTGTCAAATAGCAGTTTCTGATCTATTTGCATCTTGTTCTGTGTAAAAGTATTTGAATAACATTGGGAAGTTATCCAACGCTCAGGATTTCAGCAAAAGGAAGTGTATAGTCTGTTGCCTTGGTGAACTGGATTTTTAGATGCAGACTGATCAGTCATCTCAGGGAAAAAAACTGAAATTGGTATTAATGTGACATGAATGTCATTATTACAACTTTAGTGTGCAATCATGAATTGACTGTAACTCTGTCTTAACTCCTCTACACTTTGTAACATGCAGCTTTGTCACTCCTCTATGTTTTGTGATCCTCTGCATCACCCCTGTCCATTTCTCTAAAGCTGCTTATGCCACGTAATCACAAAACCAAATATCTGTGTCTTGTGGGAACATTTTTGCTGCACAATTTCTTTCTCTAATGCCTCATTTCTTTCCCTCTGCATGTTCAATAGGCCTTTATTGTAGCTTCTTTGTCTGTAAAGCAGGCAATGTAGGACAATATTTTGAGTAGAGAGTGAACGGCTCTCTATGACATTCATTCATATCCTACAGAGGGGCACACAGGTGGTAGGCAGGGAGCTGCCTAAGTGGCAGAGCTGGCCTTGCTCCCAGTGGCACAGGTGCTCAAAGCCTTTTCACACAAGAGGAGTCCAACAATAGTATTGTGCTAGCAGTGTGGTCCTGTAGCTAGGATGCCATTGTGAGTTGTCTTCTCCACTCTCCCATGGGGCTTGCTGAGCACACTGATGAGCCCTGCATCTTCAAAACTGGGCACTGATCAGGAGTTCTCCCACTTTTCACAGCAAAAAACATAGACCATAGCAAATTTAGGAATTTTACCCCTTGGTCAGATTGGTATGGACCGTGTGGGTTTTTGCCTTCTTCTGTAGCAGGGGGTATGGCCCTCTTCCTCAGATCTCTAGAACAAACTTTACAGCAGCAGGACATTTGCCACTGTGGTCCCCCTACTTTACCTGTTGCAGGTTATAGTGTTGTGTCAAGGTTGACTGCACTTTTTTTGCTAAGAGGTTAGATAATGGATTTGTATAGGATGATTTGGATAGGGATGATCCTGCCTTAGGCAGGGGATGGTCCAGATGACCTCTCAAGGCCCCTACTTCTCTGTGACTCTATGAAACTTCTCTCTGTTTCTCCCTTGATAGGAGTGAATAATGTTCAACTCAAAACACCTTGGGTCTGATTTTTCAGAAGTATTGGCTATCCATTATTTCAACTAAAGCCAGTGGGAGTTCTTGGGATGCTAAAAATCAGGTCTTACATGTCTCAAGCCAAGAACCCAAAATGAAGAACAGTTTTGGAAAATATTAGCTTTCATCTCCATGCTTCTCAGTCTCTCATCTACAAAAACAAATTGGATAGAGGTACCTTTACTTCTTTGTAAAGCACTCTGGGAGCAATGGATGAACAGTGGTAAGATAGGAGTTCAAAGTATCATTAATTGCTTTCATTTTTCAAAGAATAATAAACGAAGATTTCAAAATGGTATAAAGACAATGCATGATTGTTTACACCTCAGTTCTCACTTGACATTCATATGTTATGCCAAGCTAATAATCTAAGCTACAATGTGGAGACAGAGTCATTCCAGGACTCCAGTCTACGCCTGTGATTAAGGCAAATCCTGCCTGGTGGATCAGGTCCCAGTCAAACAATCTTCTCCATCCAGGTTTGTGGGTTTGGTGTTATCTGTACCTGAAAAAAAAGAGACAATGACCAAATCCAGTCATACCACCAAGACCATGTGTTTTCTAAATATTCAGTTTCTTCAGACTACCATCCCTTCCCCAGGATCACTGTCAGATCTGAAAACTGGTACCTAAAAGTCATGAATGAACATCATGATCCAAAGCTCACTTCGTGCTGTTCATACTGTTCTGTAAAATACACCCAGCACCCTTCTGATTCTCCTCTCTCCAGATGCAAGAAAACAAGATGTAGCAGTTATCACAAGGAGAGAGCTAAGCCATTTGGATGCCTTTTGTGCTGCTTGGTCACAAAGATCTCCAGTACAAACAAAGCAAAACCCTCCCCAGACTGCATCAGCAGTTATTAAGAAGGGGATGCTCTAGGGATTCATAGATTCATAGATGTAGGGTCGGAGGGGACCTGAGCAGATCATCAAGTCCGACCCCCTGCCCTGGGAAGGAATGAATACTGGGTTCATATGACCCCACTAAGTTAAGCTCATATGACCCCAGCTAGGTAGTTATCAAGCCTCCTTTTAAATACCCTTAAGGTAGGAGCCAGCACTGCTTCCCTTGGAAGCTGGTTCCAGATCCTAGCCACCCTGACTGTGAAGTAGCGCCTCCTGATGTCTAGCCTGAACCTACTCTCAGTCAACTTGTGGCTGTTATTCCTTGTTACTCCGGGAGGCGCTCAGGGGAACAGGGTCTCTCCCATTCCCAGGATGTTGAAAGGAACCTTGTAGTTGTTCACTGGGAATGGGAAAGAGGTAGGGAGTGGGGACATGGATTGTCCTGGAAAGGAGGACTACTTTCTAGACAAGTGCTTAACTTAAGGTATCCACTGAGAACAAAAAACACCTAAGATATATCCAAGGGGGAGACAGAAGGAGGAGGAGGCTTGCCCCAAGTCACTCTTTTGTTTACCAGGACAACTACTTAGTAGTTCTCAAAATTTGGTTTTGCCTGTTAGAGAAAATCCTCACTCTGAAAAGGTTTGTCAGCCACTCCAACACCGCTGCCAATAATGTACATTACAATATAATTGCCTTCTCCAGTCTAATCCTAAAGAATCCAAAGGAATATCTGGTGTTGCCACTTCTAAGGTGTCCAAAGAGGCAACATTAAACAGGTTATAATAACAATAATTTGTGCAGTGCACAATAGGTGTGAATCTGCACAGAGATATTGCATGCCTTAGCAGACAAAGGCCCATTGCATGTTACCTGACTTGGAGAGTTTGGGACCATTAATATAAATGCTCAACTGCCTTCTGTTTCTGCCTTGACAGGAGTGAGTAATGCTGAGGTGCGACAGCCAGGAAAATCTCCCAGCTTCAGTGTGAACTGGATAGTGGGTAACACGGACCTCGAGGTTATTAATGCCACAACGGGAAAGAGGAACTGTGGGAGTTCCTCACGGCTCTGCAAACGCATGTTTTATGCTCGGTGGTCAAAGCTTTATGGAAAGGTAGGCCTTACACACTAACTTTGTCTTGCAGGCAAAGACATCACTACTGAGAGTTTTTCAGCCACATTTCTAGCCTGGTATTAGGATTTTGGCCCCACTGGGAAGACAAATTAAAATCTCTGCTTGCTTGCTCCCAAGCTGGGAAGACAGAGACTGTAAATTTGACTCTACATCAGGGCGCTCCATAGAGGCAAACTTCTTTAACAATTTACCATATTTACTCAAATATAAGGCATCCCTGAGTATGAGACAACCCCACAATACAGCAAAAGCTTTGTTATCTGGCACCCATGGGGAACTGGGGGTGCCGGATAACAAAATATGTCGGTTAATTGAAAGGCCCAAACAGGCTTCTTTACCTGTTTGGACTGCCGCTTCTCCCACCGTGTCCGGGGAGTCACTGCCCCTCCTGCTGCATCGCTGACCCTCCCACAGGCCCCGAGGGACAGGGAGGCGGGCCCTGCACCTCCTGCTGTGCTCTGAGCTGTGGGGGCTCGTCAGCACAGGCTGCTTTGCACCAGGCCATGGGGGCTCAGCATGGGGGTTTCGCATTTACCTTACAAGTCGGCATGCCAGTTAATAGAGCATGCCGGCTTGTAAGGTGCCAGTTGCCGAGGCTTTTACTATAGTTTGATTCTATATATGGAAAATTATAAATTGTTACAATTTTTCAGGTACAGAATCTAATTATTGGAGGTTTGCCTTGAATTTGTCCCCTTCCCATTGCTACATCAGGAAAAATAAATAGGGGGGAAGGGATCAGGTGGCCCCCTTGACCTCTGCCCCATCAACTTCTTCCCCTTGCAGCCTCTCCTCTCCCCTTTGTTGTTAGACCATGATCTCCCTGAGCACATATAAAGGTGGGCAAATCTGAAAAACACTGACTCTGAAATTAACTTGCCTGTAGTCATTTATATATAGGCAAATTGTCATGGGTATTCACAGACTTATTTCATCCAGATTTGGTGCATTTTACCTTTTTTGGAAACTGCTGCAATTTTTAGCACAGGTATTCCATAAACACTTTTAAGCAGCACTTTTGTTCCTATTTATATATAGCACAAACCTTGCATGATATTAGTCCAGAGCCAAAAGTGTCATGATATATCATAAAGTCCATTGGGCTGGGTCCCAGAAGACAATAGCATTTCAAGCCATGGTGACCCCACACCCTAGCACTGCTCAGTAAGTGTATGTATTCCAGATATCCCCCACAAAGGACCAATGTATTAATTAGCCCCACATTCACAACTGGAACCAGGTGTTCTTCTTAGGAGTCCTGGGATCCTCCAGAATTTGTATGCAGATGAGGCACAGGCCTGGTCTGGATCCATCTCATGGTGGGCAGGGACACACTAATCATACATGACAGGCTGACGGAGGGGGCAATAGAGGGATTCTGGGTAAACCTTTGGGGTCCCATTTGGTGATGTTTGCCAGACACGTGAGGCTGGTGAAGAAACAGGAATGATTAGAAATGGGGAGAAAAAAGGCAAACCTCAGCTGAGGGAGTGAGGAGGAAGTTGAAATATATTCAATGTAGTGGCTAACTATGACTTGGAAAAGAATCGGTGCTGAGGGCTCCAATGCTTGTTGCTGACTGGCAGGGAGGCAAAAACCATGCCATGTTTAAAACCATGGTTTTTACTTCCCTACTGATCAGGAGGGAAGCAGTGGGACCCCTCTGCCAATCAACGGCAGGGTGGGGGCACATACAGGGAAACATGAAAGATTAAAGGAGATGCCATGCACCCCACTTCTGCCATGTATTTGGTAGGTCCCTAACACTGTTTAATCAGTATACGAATGTAAGAGAAGGGGAAAAAACTCATCTTATATTTGAGTAAGCATGGTAAGTCTAATGTTGACAGCCTCCAAAGGAGTCCCTTAACTCCTCATCAGTATTAGCTGAAAGCTAGGAGAAGTCCTCGTGAGCCATACACATCTGAGTTGGCATTTTGTGGCCCAAATTGGAGCACAGAAAGACTTAGCCAATACAATCTCCCAAGCTTTACTAAAGCGATCTAGACCAAAGCAGAGTGCCTACCCTGATCATTCTTGACAGCAGAACCATTTTCACGGTAGTCAATAAAAACCAGGGCACTATATTCCAGATTGGTTACTGAGGGCATGTCAAACAGGTATGTGGTTTTCTGTGCTCCATTCTGATGGCAGAACTCCGTTGCACTCAGCTGATGATTAAAGTACAACTTGTGACCAACTCTGAGCTACCTGATTAAAGTGTAGTAATAATTCTATTAACCCCACTCTGGGCACACCCATTATAGGAATAGGATTGCCCTCTGAAGATACTTAGATGTCTCCCTGTTCCTATGATTGGGGCATTTATGTGCCCGAGGATGGTAACAGAATCACTGCTTTACTTAAATTGGGTAACTCAGAACCAGTTGTGCACTAGGTGAAAGAGAAATCTGCCCCAAGTGCCAGTATACAAAAACTGGTTTCTGGTTTTGATTGTAATGGAATAGATGTAAATACCTATAATGGTTTCTCAGCTTCTTGCAAGGTAAGTAACTGATCTGGCAAGGTGCTGAGCACTCTTCACTTCCATTAAACTTAGTAGGACTTATATTTAATGGGATTATTGTGATAGGCTAGCCTTAGTTAAAATGGCTACCATGCTCCTATAATCTGGTTGCCCCCCCAGGAAACCTAATCAGCATCCCCCATTGCCTGAAGTGGACTGAAACCAGTCTGGCCTCAGTAAAGATGGCTGTCTCTATTTTTCTCCAACCAGGAGAGAGTGATGTGACAGGAGCTGATCAGAGGGTATAAAATGGAACCTGAGAGATGTACACAGGTACATGAAGAAGATTTAAGGGAAAGAAGAGCATGGGAGAGCCAGTGAATTTGAGGACAGATTTCAGGACTATGGGGGAATATAGAAGAAGGGCTTGGAAGAAAAACTGGAACTCCCAGGAGTTAGGAGAGAGTGTGTGAAGTCATCTTTGGCATAGCCAGCAGGCAGGCAGGCAGAGCACCAGGTGCGAATACAAGGAACTTGAAATGGCCACAGACAAATTGAGAACAGTTTCTCTATACAGGCTTCAGTATTAGGAGAAAGGCCCAAAGTGTGACTTTTTAAAAAAGAAATTATCAAGATTTGTGATTTTGGGGTCTGAGTTTGAACATGTGGCTCTTGACAACAGAGCTGTGAGCAAGTCGCCCCTTGAACGATTCTCTCAGACACTCCCTTGCCCATCAAAGGTGAACTCTAGGATTCCTTTCGGTCTTAGGAAGCAGCACAATCACTGTCAGATTGCCAGGCAAACAAGTGGTTGATTAAGCACTGGAACAGATTACCCAGAAGGGTTTGAATCTCCAGCCCTGTACATTTTTCAGAGCAGGTTAAACAAACAATTGGCTGGGATGGCTTAATCAGAGGTGGCCCTGCCTTGAGCAGGGGGTGAACTAGGTGACTTGTTCCTTCCAGCCCCACTTTCCTATTATTCTAACTTGTCCCTCTTCTTGGCATCATTCTGACTTTTCTAATATCACTAAGAATTATAAAGAGGAAAAAGGGAGGTGGATCCAAAAAACTGAGAAATTCCAGGAAAGGAGGCAAGGGACAGTGACAGCCAGGCATCTTTTACGTATCTTCAACCTCCTTGCCTCCTGGTGGATAGCTCTGTAATACTGCAATTCTGTGCAGAACAGAAGACAGGGACAATAAGTAAAGTACTTTAATTTAATTTGTACCAATTTGGCACCACGTGAGAAGGCTTAGCAGCATTCCTCACTTTGACTTGGCCTTCTACTGGCACCTCAGCCAGCCACGGGTAGCCCAAGGGCTTGGACACAACATAGCAGAGGAGTGGGGGGAACTGTGCACTTTACCTTCTATCATTTTGTTCACTCCTTTTCTTCTAGCAACATCTCCAATTATTTCTTTTTGGTTAGTTCAATACACTTTGTTTGCATTCACCCTCCCCTGCTCACCAAATGCTAAATGAACACGAATAAGTCACACCGCATGGAGGTGTGAAGCCCTGCTGCATAGGTGTGAATTCCCACTCCACAAGACAGCAGAAGCTCTGTGAAACATGGCCCTGACCCTGTTGCCCTGCTTCACAGGGACATCAATAAACAGGAGTTGGGCAGAGAAATGGAATAAAATTCTGCTACAGTTTCCTGGGGTGAGAAGAGACAACTGGGGCAGAAATAGTGCAGGGAGAGCAGCTGCTGCTACAGGGATACAGCCAGCTGAGAGCCAGCACGAGGCTGGGAAACAAGTCCAAAGAGCAGCCCAAGTGTGTGGTTCCAGGAAGCCTGCTTTATGCTGCCTGGGAGAATCGGCAAGAGCCCACGGGGAAGGAGGCCCTAGACTGGTGGCAGAGCAAGGCAGCACAGTGTGATGGCTCAGTGCCTTTCCCGTCCTGCATGGTGAGGGGACAGTTGACTGAACATTTCTGTGGCCACTAGAGAGGGAGCAGAGAGCAGCATTGCTGGAAGGTGAAGCTCAGGGGTTGCTGTGAGGACCAGACCAGGGGCAGCTGGGACCTGGCAGAGAAGCCCAGACCAGCGCAGGGACTATAGCAGGGGTGTAGGTTGTAGCTGTGTTGGTCTAAGGACATAGGCAAGACAAGGTTCTTTGGGTAAATCCGATATCTTTTATTAGACTAACTCAAATAGTTGGGAAAAATTCTTCTTAGCATAGAATTATATATATAGGGACTACAGCAGTGAATTTTATATATATATATATATATATATATAATTCTATAGATATATATAGAATGATATATATAGGGACTATAGCAATGAATACGAGAGACCTGAACTGCACCATGTTTACACCAGAGAGTGAGGCTGAACAGTTTGGATTAAATCAGCCTGTTACTGAGCAAGGTGGCTGTTGGGGACAAAATAATATTGATATTTGCAGTGGGAACGATTTTGGACTGAATCACCAGAGGCTCTGGAAAGGGTCCCTGCTTTAAGTCAACAGATGGGATTCTGGATCCTATGACTAGCAAGGGGAGCTCCTATTTGACACCATATTGTGTCCTCACTCCTGGTTGTGCCCAACATACACCTGCCACATCTCTCCCACCACCCTCCACATCGCTGGTGCATATCAGTCACCCTCCTGCCCCCTGACTAAAGTGAGTCCAGGAGCCCAGAGGCTTCCATGCAAGTGGGTTCTGCTCGCCGCAGCGGCGTTTCAGCCTCCCTCCAGGAAGCTCTGGCTCTCAATGTCTTTACATATCAGACAGAAGGAAAACAGGGTTGTTTACTCACCAGGGTTGTGCTCCAAGGGGTTTTTCCGATAGGATGTCACTTCACCAGTTTGTAAGCATTGGACTTTCACCTGTCTGTCTGCTCTAAGGCATTTTCCAGACTCTGATTTCTTTCATATAATGTCAAAGACTCACTTTTGGCTCGACTGTGTTAAGACTTTGGCAGGTCAGAGAAGGTCATTGATTTAGTCCTTCTGTAAAATAAAAGGTGCTTTCTTCTGGTGTGTGTGCTCGGGGTGATTATTGGAGTGCAGACATGTGTCTTTGTCTCAAGACAGTTTCTGGCAGGCGCTCCAGGTTTCAGTTCAGACATTCGGTTGTATAGCACCAGCCATGCTCCCCTTCAACAAGACAGCCTCTCCGCTATACGTGCTGGCACAAATCCCCGAAGCTTCATTACTGCCCCTTCGTATGCATGTTTTACAGCATTTCTTATTAGAACAGATTTAAAGGAAGGGGGGGATTCTCCTCGTATTGTCTCTCGGCATTAGCTTGACTGGCTAAAGCTCTGCACTGCTCAGCTTCCTTTACTAACCCCAAGCACATCCTCCTCTTTTAGGCTTCTCAGAAAGGCTATTTTTTCCCTCCAGAAAGCTCTGTAACTGAAAAACAGATTTTTTTTTTTCTTTGCACAATACCTGGTGATTTGCAGGTTTCTTTTTGCTGCTGGCTGTGCCCACTTCAAGAGGGTTAAAGCTGCTTAGATTTTTTTTTACATCCATTTGCTCCACAATCTGAGAGAGAGAAACAGTGTTGCATGCGGTTATCCCTTCAGTGTTTTGTTGTTCTAAACCAAAAGCAAACACACAAAGCCCAAAGACAGTTTATCTGTTGCTTATGAAATGTAGACAGGAAGATTATACAGCTACTGAAGCCTCCTGTTTCTTTTGGCTCGTTGGTCGGATTTTTTTTTTATTATTATTTTTCCCCTTCCCTGATTTTTGTTCTGCAGCTGAGCACACGAGTCCCAAGCCATGGAGACATGCCATCAGTGTACAGTGAGGCAAAGCTGGTGCCTCAAACGTACCAGGCTGTCAAGCAGCAGCTGTTTAAAGCATTTCAGAAAGCAGGTCTGGGCACTTGGGTGAAGAAGCCCCCAGAGCAAGATCAGTTTCTACTAACTCTATAAATCATTCGACACCTTTGCTACGTGACCAGAGCGGATCGGCTGGAGAGAAGCATAGGCAGGATGCGTGAGCTGACAGAACTGATGCAGTTCAATATTTAATAAAAACCTTCATGAGAATATTTTCTTTTGATTCTGTATTGGAAATACATAAATATCGGATGTGTTTGATTAATGCACTAAACTTGACGTTAGGAACTGCTTTTTCATCCTGATCCCCTGCACAACATGCACAAGGATGTTCATGCCCAGACTATTAAATGATCCTCACAAAGATGCTGCTGTTCATTGTTTATAGCACATGTGACTATTATTTATCCAGGAAGCATCTGCATTTCAGACGCTAGCAGGCCATGCACCTGACTCAAAATTGAGTCGATTTTCCCTTACAAATCACAGAGTGATGGAAAACATTTTAGTAAGTGAACACATGAAAGAGCCTTCAGACCCACCGCGCGACAGGGGCTTTCAGGCCAAGCATATTCATCCACAAAACGAAGAAGTATACCCCCCAAGCCAAAATCATTGCAAACATCAGCTGCTTTGATTCACAAAGTGTATTTTAGTCTACAAAGATACAGACAAAATTTGAACTGTCCTTCCAGGTTTAGATTGAAACACAGCGCTGAGGGTGGAGACTTCCTCTTCTCTTCTCCTGGCTCACACTGACTCCTCCTGTAACTTCAGGTGTCACTTAGTACTACATTTTCAATTATGTCCTGAGGTGGCTTATCTTTCTGGATACCCCAAACCAGATACATTTTTCAGAGATACTGAAGACTGCAATCCTAAGGGAAGTCACTGGGAGCTGCGAGTGCTCAGCACTTCTGAAAAATCCAAACTTTGGTGTTGGGTACCCACAAACTAAGATGCCCCAAATTAGTGACCAGTTCTGAAATCTGGCCCATACCGTGTCTGCCTCCATTTCTCCATTTACCAAATGTGGATAGTAATACTTACCTGCATCACAAGGAGCTTGTAAGGGATACACAGCTGCATTAGTAGTTGGCTGTAACCACCGGTTAAGCCAGAATCTGTCATTTTTATGTTGAGCTTAACCTTGCTCTGCAAATATGTCTATCAAAACCATCCCAAAAGATGGGACTGCTACCTAGAACGAGTTTCTAATCAATGGCACTAAAGGTTTTTCAGCTTCTGGTTCTATATAAGTACGAAGTATTATTATTAAATTTACCACACATTTATTTGCGGCTTGAAACAAGCATTGCTTTCAGGCAGAAAAAGAATAAGTTTTCACTGTTAAATCATTGATTCATCACTTGGATTAAAAGGCACACATTTTCTGATCTGTGACTGATTTAACTTCATCAGAACGCAGGACAAATAGTCATGAGAGAACCAAGCCTTGATAGGCCAAGTCCAGAGCCAGCCTTGTACCGCGCTACCGAGTTAACACTGTATATTTCTTTTGTTCGTTTGTTTGTTTTAAGTGGCAGGATTTGCGGGTATATTACTACTGTTTTCTTTTTATTCCTGTGATTCTCTTTCAATCTGTATATAACATGCTACTGATGATTTGTGATAATTGTCTTAGTATTTTCTCAGAACTGTCAAGCTGAGTTACTTTTCAGACAAACACAAGGCTCATATTTTTCCATGTAATTTCCTTTACACAGGCAACTGTTCCTATCAATAAAGAAAGATGCTCTTTGTATAAGGTTTATCATGTTTGGAGCCATATACAGTAAATACATTGTTTATTGATGCCCACAATAGAATAGCTACAGTATTTTGATGAGATCTTATTTTTAGATTATAAACTACAAGATGTATCTATAGTGTCTTGTATAAAAAAAATATTGTGATAAACTAGAAGTTTTAAATGAGGTAAAACAAAGCTCTCCCTTCCTGGAAACCTTTTCAACAAAATAACACATTCCATATTAACCACCAAAAAAAATCCTTAGACTAGAAATACTAAATAACCTGAAGTTGTTTCAGTCATTTAGGGGGAAGGAGTTGTTCTGTGGTAATCCCTTTGCTAACATGATCTCGCCCAGGGTAACTTCACATTTGATTTTCAGCACTGTCTGGGGATTCCCTGCACAGCCACACTTTCCTTCCCAACGGGAAACATTCAGCCGTGTTACTTTTGAATATGCCTTGGGCCCCAGCTCCCATTCGTATCAATAGAAGACATCCCCACTGATATCAGTGAGCGTGAGCTCAGGCCCTTGTGTTAGTGCAGCGGGTAGCCACTTTGGAAGGAGAGCAGGATACCAGCCTGGGTAGGGATTTTTAAGAAGAGGGCTGAATTGTGGCTGCCCCTTGAGCAGGTAGGGAGCGGACAGAAGTCACTTCCTCCCCATCATACATGGGCAGCATAAGGGCCACCCTGAAGTACCATCCCTAGACGAGGGGGAACCCAAGGACGGGTCCTTCCTGCAATGCCAGTGGTGCAGCTCACCCTGACAAGGGCAGGACCAGAGCCCTGCCCATCACCAAAAGTACATCTGACATGGAGGGGAGCATGCTCTGAAAATGCCTAGCTCCCTGAGCCCTGCAAAACTTGGGGAAAAATTCTAGCATCCCAAGGTCAAATTTCCCTCCAAGGTCGCCCGAGCTGGTGCAGTTCTGTCCTATCCCACTCTGTTCACTGTGTGTTTTTCACACATTGGAGACCATTAGATGTGCTGAAATCCAGCAACCAGCAAGAGATTCTGGCCACTCAGCATGAAGCATTCAGGGACTCTCTTGTTCTGGCTTCCTCTACATGAGGGATATCAGGGACTGTTTCTTGAACTGCTCCATCTCTCGTTAGCCCAACCTAGCCACAGGAGAGACATTAAAGCTCCTTGTTATACCACCTAGATTCAGCTCTGGCATGATTCCAACCCTAAAAATCCATAAAGCCACAGGAGCTGGTGGCAGACCTAAGAGGACAATAAATGCAGCATCTGGTTGTTTTTAAGAATAAAAAAGAAAAATGTGGTGGATTGAACGATCCTTTGTTGCAAGAAATAAACAGACAAATTCCTGGATTTAATAGCCAGACCTAACGTAGGCAGTTGTGACCCTCTTTGGGCCTTGTTGTAAGCGGGACTAAGACAATCCTATTGAAGACAGTGGAGTTGTACCTGCTTGTACCAGGGTTGAATTGGGCCTGTGGTTTCTACTGTTTCTCACTATATACATCGATACAGTGTGATGGGATTACATCCCATCAGCACGAGTGACTAACATTCAATTCAGCATTTCCTGAGGCAAAGGAAAACTTGCTCAAATAGTAATTCTTAGGTGAAGATTATGTACATAACACGCATGAGTGAATGGCAATACTGTACTAATGGATGTACATTTGTAATATTTGTAAAAAGAAAAAGGACAACAAAAATCTGAATTTACACATGTGAATTTGCTGCTAAGTTCTGTAAATTGCACTTCAGTGATATCTGATAAGTGAATGTTTCTGTTAAGTGAATAAAATACCAAGTAAAATTGTTCCTTGATTGTTTATTTGTTGACCATTTTTCTCTATGACCCAGAATTGAAGTGATATAAATGTATCTATTTTCAAGAGAGTCTCCCTTTGATATGTCCATCCAACTTCCAGAGCTTTATGGGAGCTATCCACTTTTTCTAAGAGAAGACTGTCTTTCTGAACCACATATGATGGATTCTGTTTGGATAGTGATGTGGTAAAGGTGATCCTGGGAAGAAGGATAAACTGGGTCCATCTTCAGGTTCAACCACTTCAGCTGACATTTGGGGGCATTTGTTACCCATGAGTGTGTCATCACAGCTCTACACAAAATATGGTGTCCTGGGTCTTCTAAATGAAAATGTTCTGGAAAGTTAAGGTGAAACAGCTGTGAGTGTGAAGTCACTGCACATGTGTTAAAACACATTAAAACATGATGTGGCTGCTGTCATTCAGGATTAGAGTGCCCTGAACTTGCTGTATCAGTATCAGTTTCCTCCTATTGATTGATCTACAGCAAACTAGCACCATTGTACATCTGAATAAGAGTGTGCTCATGCTTAACTTGCTTTAACTGTATTGGATAAAAAGGCTGTAGCCTACAAACTTACGCTCCTCTGAATCCTTGCCCTACCCTGCCCTGTCTTCTGCCTGATTTCAGACTAACACAGCTTGCTCTTTCTGCTTTAACTTGCTTATATTGGACTCCCCTTAACTTTCCTTCCATAGTGGGTTTTTTTCAGTTGAAAGTGCTGCTGGTCACATCACTACCTTACCTTCTGCGAGCTGCAGAAAATGGCAAGCTGCAATCACACTAGCTCAATGAACTACTGAGCTCAAGTGGGATTTTGATTTTTTTACTTCTTCTGAAGACATGCAGGTTAGCCCTCGTATTTGCCCACACACATCTAAAGTGGCCATTGCTGGATTGCATATAATGAAAAACATAATATTATTCAGAAAGACATTTTCCACCCTTCTCTTTGCTACTGGTTTGCTCCAGGGTGCTATCTAGCATATTAAAAAGATGGTAAGAAGTTACTTTCCCACCTGCAAAATCTGGGGGCAGAAAAAGGGTTGGTCGTTTTTAAATCACAGAAATGTAGAATCCCCAGGGGCAAATGATTTAACTTCTTTTGTGCCTCTGTTCCTTTGACATGCATTGTTCTTTCTTTTTAAGGTAGGTTTTTTGCTGGCCATGTTTCCTTAACTTGCAACTTGTGCCTTTGGGCAGCCAGGTAGGAATAAAGGACACAGTTGAACATTTCCAAAGCAAAGCATTTTTCATAATCCGAAGTCACTGTGAACCAAATTCCAAACTCTTTGCCCAGACCGAGCTCCTAGGGAGGTCAGAATGTTGTTTGAGCAATAGAAGAGTCAAAATTCTCAGTGGTTATAAGTTTAAGGCCTGATTTACATCCATTACATCCATTCTATCCTTGCCATGGGTACAATACATTATATGGGTATAAAATGTTTATACAGGCAGAGTTTATTCCTGTATTGAAAAAAAAAGCAGTGCCAGTGTAAGGGCCATTATACCACCATAATTCTATCTACAGCAGGGTATCATACCAGTATAAAAATCTATGCTCCAACTTCTGTATCATGTCAAAGGCACCTAAGTAGCATGTAGGCTCCAAAGTGTAATCCAGTTCTACCTAGCTCAAGTGCCTGATTAATCAATGGGTCAACTTTGTTAACATATCTTCATCTTAGCCTTAAGACTAAGCCACAAAAAACAAAGAGGAGGAGGACATACTTGCCTTTTGCACTAACAGTTTTTGAGGGACTCAAGCAGGGTGGAATAGGATTGATCTTAAACATCTAAAAGCCATTTAGGTACCTTTGGGGTAAAATAGGACTTGAGCCTACATGTAAAGCAGGTTGTCACAGCATAGGTTCACTTTAACCAGAACTGGAATACGTACACAGCAGTACATTTTCACTATTCCACACTAAAGGCACTTTCACTCCATCTGTGTTCATTTTAGACTGATTCTAGTCTATTTTCTTTTCCAACACTAACTGCTAAGGCCCATCCGTGGCAGTTACAGTGACACAATTTGGCTTCTGAAAACAACAGCAAAGCAGTCATTAGGGTAAATTATATGGATTGATTCTGCACTTAATCTTGTTAAGTTTAAAGGATAAATACCAAAACTACATTTAAAACTTTGCAGGTGTGCCCTGCAGCATAAGCAAGCACATATATATATTTTTTCCCCAGCTGTACGTGGAGGACAAACAACGGTATAAAATGTGAACAATGTGATATATTGTCTAATAGAGAGCTTCAGTGAAGTGCCTGTTTCTCAAATAAAATAAATAAGTCCTTCTGTTGCAGTTAAATCTTGATGAGCATGCTTGCATGTTGAAGAATGAAATAGCAATATAAGAGCTTTTTAAGCCTTTTGATTCATTACGTCTGTGTCTACTGTGCAGCCCTTAAACCCGATTACTTTGGTTGGTTTCAGCTTGGTCACAGATACACAAGTTCAGGTGAAAATCCAAAGTTACAGAAAAGCCAGCTTCCTTAACAGGCAAGCAGTGTTTTTGCTGGAGCCCTATAACAAACAAATAAATGCCTGCAATCCACAACACACACGCACACAGCTCCTGTCGACTCCAAGGTTTACCAGATAAATAATGTGGCCTTGGAGAAAGGGGATTAATAATCACCACCTTTCCTGCAGTGAAATAGCTCTGCTCAAATACTCCTTTCAGTCTGGCTTTCCTGGTAATTAAATCCATCATCAGTGTAGTTTATGTTCTATTTTATCAACCCCCTACATAATATTGAATTACTTCCATTAGGCCATTTAAAATCTTGTCTATCCCCTAAGAGAAAAGGTTCCCATTCTTTCCCAGAACAAATATCCCTTGCATCTGTAACAATCTAGTACCCTGCGCCTTTGTCAAGAGAGTGCTCAGAGGCTATGGACCTAAGAACCACAAGATGCAGATGGATACATATATATATTATATTCAGAATGGCCAAGCAGACATAAAGATAAGATGATAAGACCCTATTTTTAAAAGTCACTTGGGCTCCTAAGAATTTTATTTTCATAGAAATCTGTGGGAATTATGGTCCTAAGTCACTTTTGAAAATGGGACTAGATTAGATCCACATTGACTTCTATGGCAGCTGACACTGTAGGGACCTAAATACAAAATTATCATCTTGCATAGGACTCAGGAATGCTGAAGGACAGCACGGCAGGAAGAGAGTGGGGAAAGCTGCAGATGGAGACCCATTCCCCACAATGATCCAAACAATGCCTCCACAGAAAGCCTAGGAATCAGGGTTGGGAGGCTGTAGAAGAGGAAGGAGACCCAACAGTGAAGAGAAGGCCAGAAGGAGCTGGTAGAGCCAGACAAGGACTCAACTGCAAAGGAGGAGGAACAGGAGAGGCCTGTATAATGTGTGTCTGGCTGTACACACATTACCACGCTTGCCCGTGGAACCAGAACCAGAGCACAACTGTTCCACCGACTGGTTATGCAGAAGCCTGCGATCCTAAGTATGGCTGAACTATGAAGTAATAGAGGACTAGCTGCCAGCTGAGGCGCAACGTATTATTTATAAGGGTAATTTCAAACATCACTCGGACAGCAACTGAGCCCCATTCCAAATAAACACAAAACGGCAAATACGGCTCTGCCAGCAGAAAAAAAAAATGGTGCAACTGCAGGCAGGGGTATGGCCATCTTTGTGTAAGACAGACAAGTTCTCCCTGTCATGTCGCAATTTTAAAAAAGTTGCCTCTAGATAAGTACTCCTAAGCCAGACCCAGTCCTTTCTGCAGCAGAAAATCCCACGGAGGGTAGGGCAACCAGAGTAGGGTGAAGTCTGGGCCTGGTGCCTCCTCACCATCTGCTGCATTGGCCTTGCTGCTCCCACCAGCTACATCCACACAGAGCAACCCTCATCTCACAAGTCTGGGGACTAATGCAACAGCACTAATGGAAGCCTTTCAGTACATTCTGGCCTACTGGAGCGACCATGGCTTCCACGACGGAGGAGCTCATGGTAGGGCTTATGACCGGGGAGGAAAGTTAGAGGGGTGCCTACAAACCACTGTTTGTAAGATGAAAGCACAAAACACTCAACATCTGGCTGGTGCCGTCAGAGAAGAGATGTGCCCTAAAGGGTCAGAGCCCAGGAGATATCTTCAGTGCCAGGGCCCCTGTGGATTCAGGTCAGCCCTCAAGGGCATTCCCTTGGGTTAGGGAAGCTGCCTTCTGTGCAAGCCTATCTTAGGCTCTCTGCCTCATGCATGAAGCCCTCAGGTCTCCCATACCATTATGTCAGGTGCAGGGGCTGCTGTCCCTACCACCAGGAGATAGGGAGGGAGAAAACCCTCCAAGTACCGCATTCTCAACACCTCTAACTCCTTCCAGGAGTAATGGCCACAAACTCCTGGAAGACCATTTCAGGCTTAACATAGGAAAAACTTCTTTACAGTTAGGGTGTCCAGACTGGGGAATAAGCTCCCTCCAGAAGTGGTGCAATCACCTACCTTGGAAATCTTCAAGAGGAGACGGGATAGTCACCTTGCTGGGGTCACTTGACCCCAGTTGTCTTTTTTGCCTAGTGCAGGGGGCAGGACCCGATGATCTTCCAGACCCTTACAATCTATGAATCCTACCCCAGCCTGTTCAGGCAATCTTGTGAGCACAGGATACACGTTTTTCTTTTTTTCCATGTTCTTGAGAACCTGCTCATGCATCATGTTAGCTCAGTTGGGAAGGCTGCCTCATAAACTATCCCTCTGTGCCATGGTGGGCTATGAGGTCTGCCCCATAGTTACACATGAATGTTGATCTCCACTTTCTTTGTGGAGAAGTTTGTACAGTGACAGACTGTAGATGTTACCCTGGCATGGCCAGAAAGGACCTGCAATAGCCCACAGAGATGGCTTATCCTGGGAGTGGGGGGAAACAACACAGCACTGCATTAGGTTCACCTGCCAGCCCCATTTAAATATTTTCCCACTTACATGTCTCCTGAAAAGGAGGGCCATATGTGTGTGACAGCTGCCTCCACTTCTCCTGCAGCTCTCATTGCCCAGTCAGACCACAGACACATCAGCAGCAGCTGCCTACTCAAAAACAGGCATTAAGTCAAGTTGAATCACTCTGCAAGGGGTACACCTAGTGCAGGGGCAGGC